TGGAGCAGTGAGACAGCAGAGTCTGATTATGAGCCTTTTGAACAACCAGCTCGTCAAACCAACCTGGCTTTATCAAAATGCTAATCCCAGCCTAAGTCTGTCAGACTTTGATTATCTCRGTTTGGTCTCAGTTCTCCTCCTCAGGGGGGGGTTTGTGCAGCTCCAGAAGTGCCTGGAGCCCTCTGGGGTTTGGTCTGAGCACTCAGCTGGCAAACAGCCACACTCTGAGGGTCAGAAATGAGGAATACAGAGTGTAAATTATTAACTCCGCACTTCCCTGTGACTCTGCAGAAATTCCCTGCTGGAGAAATTCAGCTGTAGGTCACAGAGAATGAGCCTGGCCAGTCTGAGCAGCTCCTGCTTCATCTAAATTATTCTGGAAGTTCCCAGATCTGATGAGCCTTTGCCTGTTCTTCACCCAGATCATAATATGGAATTGGCCAGAGAGCCCCAGGAATGTTGTGTAAAATGTGGGTTCATGTCCAGGATGCTCAGGGAGGAAGGATGGAAATGTATTTATTCCCTCTCAGAAAAACGGGGAAATGCTTTGTTAGATTTGGTTGGCCAAATTTAACACTAGATTTTGGTAGGCTAAATTTTTTAAATATCAACATGAATATAAATATGTATTTACAAATATACAAAAAYATATATAATATCATATTTACACACAGACACACACATRTGTGTGTGGRTACAAACAYMCCACACCCCTGGCTTYYTACCACACAGYTACACTTTMAAACTGGCYGTCTTTCAAGAAAAATTTCTGGAATTCCAGCATATTCTCATTTCAGTCTGTGCTCTGGGGTTCTTGGCACTGTCCTGTGCTTATATTATTATTATTTTTTAAACTGTAAAGGTCTTACACAATATTTTTTGGAAGCGACATTAGTCCATACAAATATTTATTATTTGATGACTGAAGATTTTTTTTTTCCAAAATGATTACACTCCTCAAAACAATAAGGAATGTATAATATATAAAACTTTTGGGTTTTTTTTACAAGTTAAGGCAAGGCGAGAAGATACTGATCCAAACCCTCTTTAGACCTTTACAGGTTGCTGCCTTGTAATAAAATGTAGAATAAAGTCTGAAGAGTTTGTAAAGTTATTTCCTTCCAGAAATTTGCCCAGGAACACTTGGTGCTTTCTGCATGTTTTTAAAGCTTTTATGTTGAAGGTGCAGTGATTTTTGCCTGGTCACTCTGCTGGAGGGCCTGTGTACCAGAGTTCAGAAATTCCATCAKCTTTTGGGGCAGAATTTCCAGATTATTGACAAACTACGCTGGGTTATATTTTCCTTGGAAGTTACTGGGAAGAATGAGTCTCACTGAGACTGCAAAATCATTGCTGTGTCCTTTCAACTCTAAACTCACAACCCCAGACTGCAATTTTAAATACTTTAGGAACACTCTTSCTGCCCTGTGTTTACAGAAATCCTTTTTAAGCTGGATAAAAGTACACTCAGTGTGAAAAATGCAGAGTTTTTATCTGTAGGGCTCCCTCCAAGCCAAGCCACAACAGTCTTAACTTTCTGTACCACCAGAAATTAATACGAGGAGAGGGATAAAATGCATTTTTCCTGGTATTTGCTTTCCTTGAACTCCATCCTCTGTTCCTTGAGAATTATTTCTGCTCAGAAGGGAAGKGGTGAGACAGATAAGGATGGTGAACATTTCACTGGAAAATGAGCAGCACATGTTGGATGCCCTCCAGCACCATTCAAAATGCTTTTTATCAAGGTATTCTCTTTGAAGAGAGAGGTTGTTGATGCAAAGTATTAAGACTGAGTGAACCTGAAGTGGATGGATTAAATAAGTGCTGCCTGCTCTGTTTTTCTTTTCTTTTTTTCCTTTTTATTGTGTTCTACATGGGGTTGATCCACGAGTTAGGAGGAATCTGTGTTTTCTGTCAAGATTGAACTTCAGCCTCAGCAGAGAAATGGCAAGAAATTTTGTTATGTACTGGAGATAATTGGTTTTATTTCTTTAAAATAAAATGAAGTCAGTTTATTTGATGGAATTCTTGTATAAAATTGGCACCCCTCCCTTTTGGTTTTTTTTGTTCTCTTATGATTTTGCAAGCCTACCATCTCTTTATTTAATTCTAATCTTTCTAATCTATTAACCCTGATTTATTTTTTTCCATTAGTTTGTCGAGTTTGTGTCTAAATAAGAGAACAGTGCTGTCACTTTTAACGAAGGAGAGAACCAACCTGATCTTAATGTAAATTAATGCCATGAAATTGAAAGAATTATTGCTCCATTAAGTGTTACACCTGGTATAAATTCAATTATCCATCAGTTCTAGCTGTAACCTGTAAAACAACAAGATGTGACTCGACAAGTTCTGAGGGCCCAAATAATTATTAAAAGGAAGCTGCAGGAATAGATCTGATTTTAACACAAGAGGAAAATGGCACCGAGAAAATGAATGAATGAGAAGTTACTTCTGCACATTAAATAATTAAAAAGATCAATCATCAAGCTATTAATATGACCAAGACTTTATTATACACATTTCCTAATAAAAGAGTTATTAATAATCATTGTAAAGAAACAAACTGTGGTAACCATTGTACCCAAATGTAGGGGAAATATTCTAAATATTCTCTCAGTCTTGGTGAATGTTGGTTTCTATGTCCATGATTTTGTGTAAATTCCTTGCATTAGACAATATATGTTTGTTTATAAACTGATTATGTCACACAAATTTGGGTCGTATGCAGTTGGGATGTATTTTTCTCGTGTTAAATGTTCTTTTCTGCTATAAGATTCCTGAATAAGAATCATGTTCCATGATTTTTTTTTAACTTTTTTTTTATTTTGAGCCTTCTTCTTAAAAAAAAAACAAACCTGCTCTTCCAGGGAAATCAAAGCTGGCAAATTCAGCTTTTACGGTGATATTTTTGTACTTGAGTAAAGACTTTAATACTAGATTTTGGTAAGCTACATTTTATATATAAATATAAATATAAATATAAATATATAAAAATATATTAGAAATAGAAATAAATAGAAATAGAGATAGAAATAGAAATAGAACTGAAAATAGAAATGTAAGCACAGACACACAGACACACTATATATATATATGTATGTATGTATTTATATATATTTATATACAAACACATATGGATGCAAACATCCCACACTCCTGGCTTCTTACCACACAGTTACACTTTAAAACTGATGGTYTTTCAAGTAWAATTTCTGKAATTCCAGCMTATTCTCATTTCAGTCTGTGTTCTGGGGTTCTTGGCACTATCATGGGCTTATAATATTATTATTATTTTTAAAACTTAAACAATATTTTTTGGAAGCAGCATTAGGCCATACAAATATTTATTATTTGACAACTGAAGTAGGTTTTTTCCCCAAATGATTATGCTCCTCAAAATAATAAGGAATGWATAATACATAAAAWTTTTGGGGTAATTTTYTYCMRAWTWMKKTT